AATAGTGCTATAATAAATAATGAAATGTATTTTTCATGCATGAATATTTCAATTTGATATTTGGGAAGTTAATTTTTTTTTGGCATGTTACAAATTAATGTTATTGATACAATTGTATAATTTTAATGACATGGAATTGAAATCCTAGAAATTTAACAACTCCCAAGTAACCTGAGAATTACTGAGGTGAAACAGAAAAAAATGATTGAAAAACACCACTTATTTGATTAACTCTTAAGTTTCTCTTAGGACATAATAAGATAAGAAAAAATTACCCAATCAAAAACTGAAAATGCAGTTGAAAAACAATTACTGAACCCTCCAAATTCTAGTTAGTGTTTACTGATATTTTAAAAATCCTGCATCATTTATTGTTATTGTGAAGAAGTTCTGGAATATGTTGACCAGGCTTTTTAAGGTATAGCATTCAGATATTGCAGACTTCTGTGTCCCAGTAGTTAAATAAACAAGCCACTAATAAGTAATCCAGAGGTATAATGAACCCACCATGAAACAAAAGTGACACAGTATATTGCTTACTGGTGGCAAGTAATTGAACGGAACAAGTTTGTTATATTTGGGATAACATAAGGGAATAATTGCAGGCAACTGAAAAAGGACTTTTTGTTAGAAAGACCAGAGGTTCTCTGACTGTGTTTTGTCAGCATTACAATGTTTTCTTCCCTCTGGACATTCTCTATTGACATTTTAAATTTAAATATATCCCTTCATTCATGCCCTGACTGGGTAATAAACAGTGGTGTTTTTTAAGTTATTGTGCAATGATTTTTACAAATATATTTTTCTTGTGGGGTTTATTTAATTCTTACCTATAGATTGATAATTCCCCATGTGTTTTGACAGAAACAAAGATTCTTTCAGCCTCAAGTTAATAAAACAGAGCTGTCATACAAAACAAAATTTAACTCAGTAGAATCAGGTTGGCTGGTAGGTAAAGGGATCATGGCATTAGAAAGGAAGACTTTTCCCTTGTAAAGTAAATATCAAAATTAACAAGCAACCAGAGACCAGACATTCTGTAGGGGAGGAAGAGGGCAAAGGATCAGGACAGGGGAGAGAAGAGCACAAGGGACTATGGTGATGGTGCCCGGGTGAATTGGTGGTGGGAATTTCACAGGGAAAACATAATTGTACAAAAATGAAGGATGATGTAATAAATTATATATACACATATACATACATAATATATGCACATATATGTATATATATAAAAGAAAGGAAGACATTTTCACTTTCTACTGCTTTCAATTTCATTAAATAGAAAGTATAAGCACAAACATTGCAGGCTGAAAACGGAGGAGTCCTTCTAGGTGGGTAGTCCAGCAAATGAAATCTTAAATCCTAGAAGGACTGAAAGTAGACAGAGCTAGGGACAGGTTCAAGGTCAAGAATCTGGACTTCTTTTCCTGGTTCTTTGAGTCAGTGTGACCTCATTATTTTGTTTCCATTTCCAATCCTAAGAATTCCAGATATTCCTAGGATGAAATGTAAAATAAATTCCAAAATAAATTCCAAAATCAAATAAATGATTTGGCAACTATCTGGGTCACATTTTCAAAAGTTGCATTATTAAGAGTTAGTGATGCCATATGTGATAAGCAATCCTTTAATAAGAGATTTGATTCTTTGTAGGAGTTTAGATTTTGTTTGATAAATTTTAGTTCTGACAAGCCTAATTTTGAAGGATGCCCTGGTTAGTCCTCTGGATTTTAGAAGATCATTTGAAATACTTTGCTATTTGAGAAAAAGAAGAGCAAGCCATGTTTCAGGAAAAAAAAAATTCAACTGGGAGTAACAACTGAAACAAGACCGGACACCAGAAAGTATTAACTATGATTGTTGAAATAACAAGTTAGCAATCATAAACTAGACTCCCATCAAAAACGAAGCAGGCCCTCTCTCCCTGCCCTCCATTTTATCCTTTTCTTTTACATACAACTTTTATCATGCACTTGTCAGGCCAGTCATTAAATTTACATTTGCGTGCTGACCATGAAGACTGTTTTCACTTCTAAGTTGGTCAAGTTGAACTGCTTTGAAGCTAGTAATCTGCTGAATTAGCTGACTTCTTTCATGGTATTCCAGAACAAACAGATCCCCTTTAAAAAAAAATCCCTACTTTTGTTATTTCAGGTGGTTTGAGTCTGTTATTCTTACATAAAGATGTTAGGGTTCTTCCAAGAGAGGCTCAAGGAGAAATTTAGAAATAAAATGTTAAGCAGATTAAAAGGACCTTTAGTATATAAGGATCATGTTTTTTTAAAAAAAGATTTATTTTTATTTATTTATGCATACAAGAAATGGGGTATGGGCCAGAGGTTCGGGGAGTGAGAGGACTCACCAGAGACAAAGTGGGGAGCAAAAAAGGCAGATCTACTGCTGAAGGGAGCAGTGCGTGAGACAGGAGAGGTCTGGCAATAGCTTGAATGTACTGAGACTTTAACCCCTGCGACCACCAGGGAGGTCCATAAGAATCATATCTTTAGGTGAAAGATGCATTCAAAATCGGTTGTCACTTTACTGTGTAGTCAGTCATGTTTTTTTCCTTAACTTGCTTACATAGAATCAGGGTAGCCCTGATTTAGAAAGAAATGTGATCATTAGCACAAACATCAAAATAATATTTATTGAAGGCTGACTCTGAGAAAGTAGAAACTATTATTATCCCCACTTTACATATAAGAAAACTGAGACACAGAGAGGTTAAGACCATATGCCTAAGGTTAGAAAAAAATTCCTTTCCTGTATCCCTGGTCCTATTCATAACCCCAGCATACACACACACATACACACACACACACACCCCAACCACCACCAGTAATATAAAGTATAACTTTTAAAACTCCACCATTAAGCACAAAAAGGCCAAGGAATGTTTGGAACCAGTAAGCTGGAGCCAAAAAGATTTATCACATCCTAAAAAAAGAATCTTTGGCATTAATAGAGAAGCCAGAATCAAGTGTAAAGTGTAATTGCTGCACAAACATGCAGTATGTGTGAAGCTATGATCACTCCTTTAATCTCACACCAGAGAAAGCTAGACAGTGTGTCCGTTGGGTGGAATTCCCGTCCGTACTCCTTCCATATCCTGCTAAAACAGTGCTTTGTTTATATATATGTTTTTATAAAATGCAAACACCCACGTTCAACTCCTTGGAAATAAGTATGGTTTGAGTTCTTAAAGGAGATTAGGAGTTTTGGCTTCTCATGCAGGTAAAAAAGGCAGGTCACATAGCTAGATTTATGGCTCCAATTTTCACAGATAGTTTCATGTAAAATAGTGGCTACTTGCCACCCCTAAACAATACCTACCACTTTAGGAAGCTGTGTAGTGGATTCATTTTTAGGAAGAAAACCCCCTAGTTTTTACATTTACTAATTTCCCAGCAATGTCTTAAAGGTGTCTGAGATAACTTCCTATTACATAAGGGTAAATAAAAGGTAAAATGACCTTTTTTTTTTTTTTGGTTTTCTATGACCAATCACACATTAATAATAGCACAATCCTGATAGCCAGTAGGTGCTAATTATTTTCTAAGCACTTTGCTAAGCCCTTTATAGCATAGTTCACAGAATTTGTTCAATACCATCATTAGGTAGATGCTATTATTATATTCATTTCATTGATGGTTCTTTGTATTAAATTAGTTAAAACCCCATTGCCAAATCTTCAGGCATAGAGAAAATGTTCTTTCTGGAGAGCTGTCAATTTTTGTGCTCCACTCATTTAATTTTCATAAAGCATTTTCATTTATTCAGTACGTAGTTTAAGACATATTATGAGTTAAGAACTCCATGATGCTATTTTCTGGGCACACAGATTAATAGGGTATTTCCTCCCATCTCAGAGCTCATTGTGCAGAGGGAGGGCACACATGTAAGCCAAAACTTAGTGCTGCTTAAGCTCTGTAACAGAGTTCCCCACCAGGGTTCACTCATACTGGAGGTAAATGGGAGTGGGGAAGTAATTTTGAGAGAAAAATAAATTCATTGATATAAATATGTATAAGCTATAAATATGGGTAAGATAAAGAGTCAACAGAGAAGAGGAAATGTGGAAAAGAATGGAAGACATTAAAGAAGACTGGCTGGATAAGCTAATGCATGGAAATTAAAGGGCAAAAAGAGTTAATTAGATGAGCAAAAGGGAGAAAGACATTCCCATACAGAGCGTCTGGTTTATAAATAAGAACCCATTATCAGGGCCTCCCTGGTGGTGCAGGGGTTAAAGACAGTGCTATCAAGCTATAGCCAACCCACATGGCACAGCAGACCTCTCCTGCCTTGCTGCTCCCCTCAGCAGGGTATTTCAATAGATCTGCCTATTCTGTTCCCCACTCTGTCTCTGGTGAATCCTCTCACCCCCCACACTTCTGGCTTACACCCCAGTTCTTGTATGCATAAATAAATAAACCTTAACCAAGAAAAGAAAAAAGAACCCGTTATCTAATATGTATATTTATATTATTGGCAGTAAAATCTGAGTAGAAGGAAAAGAAAGTAGATATCTGAGCGTGAAGGGCCAAGGAAGCAAAGTTAAAGGGTTTATACTTTATTCCACAGATAATGAGCTTGTACAGGACTTTAAATGGTTCAAAGCAAGACAGGCTTGGGTTTTGGAAAACTTGTTTTAATAGCCTCAGCAAAAAATGTTCAGGTACTTCAGGGACTATGAAACGAGAAGGGAATTTTTGAGAGCTATTCAGGGGTCAAAGTCAATACGATTTGTTAGATGTGGAGACCACAGAAGAGAAAAGAATCTAGAATGACTGAGATTTCAAAGTTGGGAGATATGTTACTGAGGCCTAGACCTGCTGGTTAGAACACCTTCCCTCTCCTCTGGAGTAAGGGGGGTTAAACACAAGGTTTGCTTGTCTCCCACAAAGAAGTCCACAAGCAGACGGTTTAGGCTGATGTGACTCCATGGGCTCAGTAGGGCCCTGTGTTCCTGTCTTTTTACTTTATCCTTTTACTTATAGCTGCCAACCTCAAAGTCACCTATTGTTCCAAGAGGGATATGGAGCAAATCATTCACTGCCCACGTGCCCACACAGGAGACGGAGAAAAGAGACCCTCAGAGACCGGCCCCTCCCAGGTGAATTAGCTTCCTTTAGACAGTCTTCCTGGAAACCATATGTAACATTTCTACATCATGGGCTGCAACTGAGTCACTTAAATACAAAGAATTTAAAGACCAGGCGGGCTGGGTATAAGGCATCTTGGGCAGATTGTTCCAGCTAAAAATGGGGCTTTTACTAAGGATAGAGGAAGGATGGTTCTGGTTTAGCAACTAGTAGTATATGGTTGATTAAACTTGATGAAAGATGATTATTAGAAGAGAAAATCAGGGCAAACCCTTTTTAGAATATTGAATAGAAATGAATAGAGAAAGGACTCACAGAGAAGGAATGATTGGGGAGGTAGAAGTACCATTAGAAGGAAATAATACAAGCTCTAACTATAGAAAAGAATGTTCTTAATTTGATGAGGGCAGCTAAAAAAATGCAATAAACATGTAAATATGTTTTATGAATTATGAAATATTGAAAGGATTCACTATAACTAGGAAAATAGGTCAGTTAGCAACTGAATCTACTGTCTAGACCAGCACATAATATAAGAAAAAGAAATAAAAATTATTACCATTGCTTAAATCATTTTAAGAGATTCCTCAGAGAAATCACTTAACTTAAAGAGAGAGTTAGGCAAAGTGGCTGTTTGGTGTTAATATTGAAAAATCAGATGCTTTCCTATTCACCAGTAGCTGATAGTTGCTTTTTTCACAGTGTCAACACAAAAGTAGCACATTCTAAGGAATATAAACCCCTTTACAGAGAGAATTATAAAGTATCTTTGAACATCATTAAAAACAACTTAAATGAAGACAGAAGTAAACCATCATCTTGAATAGAAAACTCAGTGTAAAGATGCCAGGTGTCTCCAGATGCATCTCCAGATGCACTGTAAATTCAACCGGAACTGGACGGGCTTTGTGAGAAACTTTAAAGTGATTATGTAATTTATGTAGGAGAGAAAAAGGTCAAAAAATAGACCATAAACTTAAAGGGATGAAGGGGCTTGCCTTACCAAGATTTGGACTCATTGTTAAGCTGTAATGATTAAGGTATTGTATTGACCCAGAGGTTCACAAACTGATCCATGGATCAGAATAGAGGACCTCAAAACAAACCCACTCAAGCTTGAGTCATGGTGTAGTCATTGCAGACCACGGAAGAAATGACCAAACATTCAGTAAATGGTGCTGGGATGATGCATGTAGATTTAAAAAAGGAAATGGAATCCCCACATGAAAATCAAATTTTGGTGGGAAAGACAACTATGAAAGCATAAGCATAGAACTTTTATTTATTATTATTATTCTCTTCCTACCACTATCCTTTATACCACTATCCTTTACACCCTGACCTTCTCTCCCTCTCAACCTCTTTCCCTCGGGAATCTCACTCCCATGTGAGATTTATTAGTGAGCATAGAGCTTTTAGGAGACTGTGTAATTTAATGCAACCCTGATACAGGAGTTCTTAAAACACTGAACAAATGAAAATGCAAAGGATTGAAAAATTCAACTGTATTATATAACTTAAGCTCATCAAGAAATAGTAAGGTGAGGGCCTCCCCGGTGGCGCGGTGGGTAGAGCACAGCACTGTGAAGCTGTCCACAGCCTCTGCAGTTTGGGTTCGATTCCCGGCTGGCCAGGGAGATACCCACATGGCGCAGCAGACTTCTCCTGCCATGCCCACTGCTCCCCTCAGCAGTGTCTTAGATCCTGCTGCCTGTTCTGTTCCCCACTCTCTCTGGTGAATTCTCTCACTCTCCCGCGCTTCTGGCCTGTACCCCAGCTATTGTATAAATAAAAAAAAAAACTTAAAAAAAAAGTAAAGTGAAAAAATACTAGCCACAAGGAGGGAAATGATATTTGCAACTCATTTCCAACAAAAGATCAACATCTAGAAAATATATAAGATGTACATATCCTAATAGAAAAATTACCTAAATATATGAAAAGGCATTTTATGGAAGAGGAAAAAGAAATGGTCCATAAACATGGGAAATATCCTCTATCTTATTAGTAACCATAGAATCACAAATTAAAATCACAATGAGCTACCATGTATTATCAAATTGGAAAAAAAATTGTAAGTTCACTTGTAACCAAGTTAGTGAGGTCACAAGCAATGTAATTCACATATCCTGTTGGTGGGAGTATAAATTGAGAGTGCCATTGGAACACAGTTTATCATTACCAGAGAAAGTTAAAACATGCATGTGCTTTCCAACCCAGCTCTGTTCCTACTAGGTGTATGTCCTAAAGCAGTTTTAATTTTTCTTGATTGGGGTCAGATCACATTGGTGAACCAACCTCCTCTTCTTTTTTTTTAAAGAAGCTAAAACAGCATTTGATAGAACTAAACAGAATAGAATAGAATAGAATAGAATAGAATAGAATAGAATAGAATAGAATAGAATAGAATAGAATAGAATAGAATAGAATAGAATAGAAATGGAAAATACAAGGTATTGCTTCTAGTACTGTTTTGGTTTTTGGGGAGGGGCATTGCTAAAAGTAATATTTATATTCCTATTAATCATTTTCAGTAGTGTTATGAAATATCTTTCATAGACTGAGCTATGTTAAAAATATTTTCAAAGCTGCACCCTAAAGAAATCCTTAAGGGCCTCCCCTGGTGGTGCAGCGGTTGAGTGCTGGGCTGCGAAGCTGCCCGCAGCCTCTGCAGTGCTGGTTCAATCCCCTGCCATCGGTGAGGGTCCCACATGGTGCGACAGACCTCTCCTGCTGCACCCGCTGCCCCCCTCAGCAGTGTATTTTGTCGGTCTGCCTGTTCTGTTCCCCGCTCTGGCTCTGGTGAATTCTCTCACTCTCCCGCGCATCTGACTGTACCCAGTGGTTGTATAAATAAATAAATAAATCTTTAAAAAAAAAAAGAAATCCTTAACAGGCACTGGAAAAAATTAAAAGAATATCCATGATAGTACTATTACATATAATAACAAAAAGCTGAAAACAGCTCAAATATCCAATGATAGTAACATAATAAATAAATTGTAGGTTAGTCATATAATGAAATATTCTATAGAAATAAAAATGAAAGAACCTTGTGAATTAGTCAAGAAATGAAATACTCAATAGAAATGAAATTAAAAGAGCTACCACTATACACACCAAAAGAGATAAATCTCAAAGGCATAATATTGAGTAAAAGAAATGAGTTACAAAATATAATCAGTATGATTGCATTTACACAAAATTTAAAACTAAGCAAAACTAATATGTTGCTTAAATTTACATACATATATAAAAATATAAAGGTCAGACTTACTCTTGGGGAGAGGGAGGGACAGTGCAGAAAGATCAAAGCTTGTTTTGGGTGCCAGTAGTGCTGAAACGTGGGTGATGGACATATACATGTTTGTATTTTTACTACTATTTAATCAGAACAGATAGATTTATTTGCCTTGTGTATGCATGATATGCAGTCACGTGTCACTTAATGACACTTTGGTCAATGAGGAGCAGCAGGGGTCCCAATAGATTATACGGTGCAGCCGAGTGTGCGTTAGACTGTTCGTCTAGGTTTGTGTAATTACACGCCATGACATTCACAAAACAACAAAATTGCCTAATGATGGATTGCTTAGGCCATATCCCCCTCATTAGTCGAAGCATGACTGTGTTTTCACAATTTAAAATTATAAAGATAGATGCAAGCGAGAGAGGTTAATTGGTGAACTGAGATCCTTGAAGCGATGCATTGGAACAGGCTTCAGAACACATGTGAACGGACATTTCCTGAACAGAAAGAAGGGCAACCCCTCCTTCTTCTGAGAACAGAGTAGGAGGAGTAAGGATGAGAGTAGATGCAGATAAGCTTTCAGTTGTGTGATGAGCACGGGAAGATACTGTAAGAAGCCTGAGAAATTCAAATCTGTTGGACTCTTTGAGAGTGTTCAGGGAGAGGGATTCTGCTGAGAATGAAGGGATGGTGTTGGATTGAAGTCATGGAGTTGGTTGCAAAGGTTTAGGAAAGCATTTCACAAAGTGGAGCAGGCCTATCTCCTATGAGACTGGAAGTGATTTTTTGTGGGTATGTAGGCAAAGGTGTGTTTAAAATCCCAATAGTTATGAGTTTATTTTAATAACTTTGTTTTTATTTTTTTTTATTTATTTTTTTAAAAGATTTATTTATTTATTTATTCATACAAACACTGGGTACAGTCAGAAGCGCGGGAGGGTGAGAGAATTCACCAGAGCCAGAGCGGGTTGCAGACCAGGCAGAAGGACCGAAGTACACTGCTGAGGGAAGCAGCGGGCGGCAGGAGAGGTCTGCGCGCCATGTGGGACCCTCCTCCGGTGGCCAGGGAGCAGCTGGGGATCGAACAGGCGCCGCGGAGGCTGCGGGCCGCTTCGCAACCCAGCGCTCAACCGCTGCGCCACCGGGGAGGCCCTAATAACTTTGTTTTTAATTTAATGTCTATTAGGAAAAAAATAATTAGCACATCTAATCTAATATAGCATGGGTATTACTTATGAAACAAAAGGGCTGTTTAAGAATTGAGTTAATTTTAAAAAAGGTATTCAGTAAATATTAGCTCAGGTGCTACTTTGATATGTCCAAAATCCCAAAGGTGGTGCTCAAAAGTTTGGGAAATTTTTATTTAATAAGACATCCAACAGGTCAATGGGGAAAAGAGGAACACTAGGAAAAGACTGGTGAGTGGTGCTGAGATCCAGCTGCACCTGAAATCACAGCTTTGCAGTGGCTCATACCATAATTCTTCACTGAGAAACCCCTGTGTTTTCATGGCAATGCTACCAGGAACTGCTGGAAAAAAAAATGGGATTTACCAGAATCAAGCAAAAATAAAACCTGAGAGTAAAATAGTTTACTCATGAATTCATCATCCTAGCCCTTCTTGTTCAATGTACTGCATATGGGAACAGAGGGGACAACATTTATAATTATGATACTATCATAGCACAATTATAAAGGCATTAAATTGTATGAAAGAGCAGACACTGGAGAAGACACTTTTGAGGTGATATTTCACTAGGT